TCCCTTCCAGCCCTAATGTCTATGAAATCTATGAATCTGTAGCAAGAGTAGGACACTAATCCAACAATAAGATTTTTTTTAAAGTCTTGAGCTTGTCTAGTTTTGTAAAAAGTAAACAGCAATATGCTATGATAAGTACCAGAGCCACTTCAATCAGTGGGATTATTCCAAATCTACACAAGTATAGCTTAGAGCACTGGTAGAATTAAGCAGAACTCACAAGGATCAATATAAATTATGCCTTCACTTCAATTTAGAACTAATATTTGTTACAGTATAAATTTTCCCAAGGCCTTTCTCTGATTTACTGAAAGATCACATGTTGTAGAGAAACATTTCATAAAATTGATATTTGTCATAGAGTATTTGTCATAGAGTGTTGTACTGATGAATTATCCTGCAAATTTCTGCTACTTGTTTTTTCTCCATTTTACAATAGCTGTGTGTCAACATGACCAATGAGAAGATACACCAGTATATCAATGAAGTACTTTTTCTACAAGAGCAAGCAGAATGTGTACAAGAAGGAGTTACTAAGGAAACCACATACTCTCCTGCTAACCACACAGCAGCCTTGGATTTTTTCTTTCAGGTAGTTTTCAAATCCATTTATATACCATGGATATTTATAACATTTTACAAGATCCAGGAAGAGACTTTGGCATTTCCATGTTAAGTGGGGAGCTACCTATAACTAGTCTGTAAATAGTAGGGCTGTGCAAAACAGCACTATTTCATTTCTACTTCCGTTTTGCCAGGACAGTGTTTCATTTCAAGTTTCATTTAATTTTGAAGCACTGTTCCATTTCATTTTGTTGAAACTGTTTTGCTGTGTTGATGCTGTTTTGACATTTTGCCCATAGGCTATAATGGGGAAGCACAAAACTGCCTAAAACTTTCTCATTTTTACAAGCAACCATGAAAAATTGAAAAAAAAAGTTTCAAGGAGATAGGTGCAGGGATTTCTGGGAAACTGCACCTCAAAGTCCTGAAAGCAAAACTCATGTCACTTGTAAGTGTGAAGGCACACGGGGGTGAAAACAGCAGGCATTGTAGCCCCTGTTGAGGCCATGAAGCGTGCTAGATTTCAAGGAGATAGGTGTAGGTGTTTCTGGGAAACTGCACCTCAAGCTGCTGACAAGCAAAAATCAGGATGTGTGACTCTGTGTGTGTGTGTTAAAGTGTGCCCTCACTGGTGTTGGGGCCTCTACATGACATGGTAGTGTGTCCCAATGAGGACTCCTCCTCCCCTACAGCCTCAGTATGGTCCACCACTTTAAATAACAACAGGTAAACTAATAACTTAGTGAGCAGCAGTACAGTAGCACCAGCAGCATCTTAGGCAGCCAAAGTGTGACAGCGCCCTTCTTTCCTCTCCTGCAGGAGCTTCTTCTCCAGCATGCGTGTTAAGGTACGCCCTCACTGTGTCCTTCCACCCTCTTCCCCATCCCTCTCCTTAATTTCTGTTTCCCTGCAGGGAAGCCCAGCTTCAGCTTCGAAACTCAAAATGTTTTGAAACTTTGGAAACATTTCGACTTCCCTTGTTTCATTTCAAGGCTGTTTTGAAGACCTTCATTTCATTTCAACTTCACTGTTTTGAGCTCAAAAATGTGTCAAACCAGCATCAAAATGAAACTGGTGAAATTTCACAGCCCTAGTAAATAGCACTAAGTACAATAGGAGTCTGAACTCATGCCCAGAGATTAGGTCCAGGAATCAGAGCTTGTAGACAAGCACCTCTGTCTACTCAGCATGTAGGGCCCAAACATGATGTGAGTGAGTGAGCATAACTCACTTGTTTGCTTTAAGATGTTAATGTCTACCTGTTATATAACTTAGTGGTAAGAGCACTTACCCAGAAATTAGGCGACCTGGATTCTAGGTCTTGCTCTGCCTTGTAGGACTGTGTCAAATCCCCATTTCACCTCTACCAGGAGAGTGCTCTAGCCATCAGTTGTAGAGGCTCTTCCTACTCTTTTGTTGAAGCTGAGACATTTTGCAGATAGCAAACCAAGATTCATAAGGCAAGAAAGAGAAAACAGAGAGGAAAATTGACCCTTATGATCAGCTGGGATCCTAGTTTTCTCTGATAAAAATAAAATCCCCAATTTTCAGATTAAATAAAGTAACCCCAAATCCACATTTTTCCATGATTAAAATGAAACACCACTATATATATATACACACACGCACGCACGCAAGCACGCACGCACGTAGACACATAAATATATGCACACACACCCATATATTAGTGGCATTTCATTTTAATCATGGAAAAATGTAGATTTGGGGTTACTTTTTTTTAATCCAAAAATTGGGGATTTTCTTTTTAATCAAAGAAAACCAGGATCCCTGATGAACAAATCACTTGACTGGAATGGAGGAACCTCAGGTCTTAGGTTCCAGGATTACTTATGCTTTTTATGTCATGATCAGTTACTTTAAATGCATATTCATTGTTGGAAGTGGACATCCCTTCCAACTGAGCGTCCTAACTGTTGGCCTACAGTTATGCTCTCTCTTCCTTTTCCTGGCCCTATGCATTTTGTATTGTTTACTATACCATGGTACAGTTTCAGCAGAAAAGTTGGAGATTGCCCTCATCTAGACTGTTTTGAAGCCCTCTTCTGAGAGGGTAGTCTTGAGAGGACTAAGATATCCCCCTCAGACTGAAGAGACTTAGAGCTGTGGTCTCTTATTTCTGGGTGAGTGCTTTAACCATTAGACACTACATAACAGATGGACTTCTCGTCCACCCACACTCTAAAAATGAAATTACTGCAGTTGCAATTTATAAGATGCCCAGTCTCATTACATGATAGGTATACTCTGAGCACACCTACTTGCCTGAGTCTGTCGGGAGATATAGGACCCGCCCCACTGAGGGTACATACAGAAGTTAAATTTAGGTATAAATGCTAGGACTGTGCGAAACAGCACCATTCATTTCAACTTCCATTTCACCATTTCAAAGGGACAGTGCTTCATTTCATCATTTCATTTTGTTTCAAATCGCTGTTCTGTTTCATTTTGTCGGAACTGCTTCTCTGTTTCAGTGCGTTTCGATGTTTTGCCCATAGGCTATAATGGGAAACCATGACAATGCCTAAAACTTTGTCATATCTTGCCTGATTTGGATGAAAATTGCAAGGGTGGTAGCCCCTTCTGAGGGCATGATGCCTGCCAAGTTTCAAGGAGATAGGCATCCAAGCTTCTGGGAAGCTGCACCTCAAACTGTTCAAAGCAAAACTCCTGACACTTGCCAGCAGCAGCAGCCTGCTCTCATCCGGCACGCAGAACTGGGGGTCTGTACCCCCAGGAGAGCTGCTGATCTGTGCCAGACTCCTCCTGGGGGTGTGAAACCCCAGATCTGTGTGCCGGATGAGAGGAGGCTGCCGCTGCCACCTGGGACCAGCCCTGGGCACAGCCCGCACCCAACGCCAGGGAAGATTGATGCTGCTGCTGGTCCCAGGTGGCAGAGGCAGCCTCCTCTCATCTGGCATGCAGATCTGGAGGTCTATACCCCTGGGAGGGCTGCTGGGCTGTGCCAGACTCCTCGCAGGGGTACGAGCCCCCAGATTTGCATGCCGGATGAGAGGAGGCTGCCACTGCCATCTGAGACTGGCGCTGAAGCCAAGTAAGCCCAGCTTCAAAACTCGAAACATTTCAAAACTTTCGAAATGTTTCAAGTGCCTTTGTTCTGTTTCAAAGCTGTTTTGAAGCCTTTTGTTTCATTTCAGTTTCACTGTTTTGATCGCAAACCATATTGAAACAGCTTTGAAATGAAACACCAGGCGAAATTTCACACAGCCCTAATAAATTTTCAATTATACAGATGTGCAGAGGGTTTAAATCATTCAAAAAATGGTGTACCCAATCTCAGTTAGTTCACCTGAAGATGTGAACTAACTCAAATTGAGCCCAAATTAACTCAGCCTTGCACACACCTTTATGCATTCACAGTGCAGCAGTGGGGCTGGGAAAGCCCAGCCGCTGGCACCAGTCCTAGGGCTGCACTGTTCCCACCCCTTAACTCTGATTGGCTATTTTTAGGCCCCCAGACCTCCTCCCCTGACTAAGCTACCTTCCCCCTACAGACCCACCAATCCCAGTGGTCCTGTCAACCCCACACAATCCTGGCTCTGATCCTGCCCAATCCCCCACTGGAGTTACTTACACCAATTTCCTCGCATGGCTCCTGTCACTGACAAATAGCGGTATGCATCTCCCTTGATCTACATTCACATGGCTTAAAGGGTATTCACCCTTCGTATCTGGATCTCTTGGTAGCTTAGGCAGGGGCCCCTAGGCTCTTAGGCTGGAGAAGTTCTAGGCAACTGCAGAAGTGCAGAAAACATTCAGATTGAACAGGAATAAATTTTAGATATCTACCTAGGAGTTTAGTGGGGATTCTGGACTCCTATATTGGATTTAGGTATCTAAATTCTACCTAGGTCTGTTTTGGATGCATAAGTCCTCTTTTGGATATGACCCAGACGATGTTAGGCTAATAAAAATTCAGGGCATTATTTTCTGGTTTAAGTATTTATAGGAAAGGTGGTGGTTGTAAAAAGACCCAAAGAGGGAGATTTTCCTAATCATCCTGTGGACCAGCAGTATCCATAGCAGTTCAGCACAGGAGAGGGTGTATCAGGGATTCTCTGCTCATATTGATCCACCAACCTTCTGTTGTGGCACAGGGGGTTCTTTTGTCTGGTCTTGTTTCTTGAGTGCAGTCCTTTTCATTTTCCTTACAAATTAGCAAAAATCATATTTTGGGGGGGAATATCAAATGTCGGTCTTTGCATTTCCTCTAGAAGCTGGTATCCTGTTCTAGATTTGGATCCATACTTATAACCAAAAGGAAGATCGGTACCTATACAGGGAAGAACTGGTATTCTGCCACTAATGACTAAACATGTTTCATTTTAGAAGCCATCTGGTTTTCTGTCAATGCTGGATGAAGAAAGCCAATCCATTTGGTCCATGGAACAGAGTCTTTCTAAACGCCTTCAGTCTTACTTGGAAACTTCAGACACCAATGCTGTATATTCCTCCACAAAAGATGGAAATGGCAATCTTGCACCAAAGGATCAAGGCTCCAACTTCACCATTATGCATTATGCTGGCAGGGTAAGTTAGGTGAGAGTGGATGAGTGATTAGTTGATTAAATGAAAAAGGCATTAAGAACAATAATGGTTCCTCATTAGCAACTTCAGCTGCTAATGTGAAGAGTTGAGTTCATTCTAAACAACTCAAGTTCCAATAATATATTTCTAAGTAAAAATGCCATGTCTATAAAGCAACAGCCTCCATATAAATGACATAGATTATACCTTTTATTTTTTTATTGAATATTAGTAAACCACAAAACAGGGTGATGATGAGCAGGATCAGTATGAGAATTTCTTGGCTTGGGAATATTTTGTACTCTTCTGTGTTGCATAGAGATGGTTGAAAAATAGGACTTTTTGAGAAAAATTTCATTAAAAAGTTTTCCTACTTTTTTACTTAGAATAAAATTATTAGGAAAATTTAAGAAATTAATGGCTAACTGTAATGTTGCCTTATCAAATACTCTTTCTCCCTTACTACTTTGCTATTTTTCCCCATTCCATTCTGTTACCAGATTTTCCTGTCACCTTGGGGTGTGCTCATTTGTTAGGGGCATGTTTCTAGGCTCTTCGTAATTCTGTCCATGTGTTACTTGTGTTTCTATATGGAGCTGTATCTCTCCCTTCTGCAAGTCCTCACCCCCAATGAAGCTATCTTATAGGACTCAGTTTCAATGGGGCTGGGTTCCTCCTGCCACCAAATCAGTCAAATACATACATACACAGATTAACGCGACACGCCTGATCCGGCGAGGTTGATCAGCATATACAGGCTGACACCCTCATATGCCAGGAATCAGTTCATTAAAGTAAGAATAAAATGCAGTCAGACACAAGCATGCAGGTGAACAGAATACCTCTGAATCCAGCTGGGTGTCCAGCTGACACCCTTATGGGCCAGCATTCAATTCATTAGGGCATGTCTGAGCCAAACTGGGTCAATCAGCCTATACAAGCTGATCCCCTTATGTATCTCAAACTCAGCACGTCCCAATCTGCCCTAATTGTCCTAGTAATGGTAGCGTCTTGATGAGTGGATCCCACAGTATTTTGGGGCTTCACAGGGATCTTTGACTTAGGTAAAAGAAGTGTTGCTGCAGAGCAAGTGGGGAAGGGGAAGCAAAGAAGAAAAAATCCACGCAGTTACCACCAGTTTGACTATAAAAGTTATTTATTGTTAAGTATATGAAATTTATGATGGTACTAGTAATAATAGACATGCAAGGAAAAACAAACAAAAACAATTACAATATTACCCTGGTTTAATTGAGTATTTGAGGAAACCTAGCTCAAGCTTAACTAATAAAATTCAGGTTCAGAAAGCTATGCCTAGGAAGAAAAAGAGAGAGAGAAAGAGAGAGAGAGACAGCTGGTATCTCACTGTTCCAAGGCACTTGGGTGGTTTGTTGACAGGAAAAGTTCCTAGCACAATGGTTGAAGGTTAAACAGGCGATGGAAAGAGACAATCTGTTTCTCCCAACTTCTTGAGAACAACAGCGGATGGTGTCACAGAGATTTCTCCCTCTTGAAGTGTACTGTTTACTGCTTTACAGTTTTCTTATACCCTTAGTCCAGCCTCTTCAAAGCATTCTTTTAATTGTGTAAATCAAGAGGGTCCCAAGCCATAATTGACAGGGGAAATGTTGAAACTGTTATATAAACAGTTTCAATTTAAATGAATTACCTTTTTCAGTGACAAGGGGTTATCTGGTTTGGAACATCTCAAGAAACTGATTAACAACCAGGAGAAGCATAAAGTTTTAAGGAATAACCAGAAACCTAGGAACCAGCTTGAAATTATTATGAATATAGAAGATAAACTGGAAGGGATACCACATTGTTTCTTCTCAGATGGTATAGCTATGCTTCAATGTGAAGTCAGCATCAGTGTTTTGTATTTTACCTGTTGTGAATAAGCCTCAGCTTAGCATGACTTTCAGATCTTACTGTAATCTTTTAACATACTTAAGGGGATTGATTACTTGGAGTGTTCATAAACTTTGTGGGGAGGATTTCCACCAGTCATCCCAGGAAAAGTATGAGCATTTGTGGTCAGGGCTCCAATGGGATGGACGTTGTGATGAAGCCTTAACCATTGTTCAAATGTTGCCCACGTCCCCTCTGACTCAGTCTCCTACCTCAGCATTCCTTAACCCACCAACTGAGTTTTAGTCAATCAGGTTTAAATAGGCCTCCCATACTGGGACCGGGGAGTGTACAGCCCAAGATGCCTATTAAACTTTTCTTCTGCTTAGTTCTGGTTAGGTGAGGTATGGGGAGGGGGGGGAAAAAGGCCTTTGTAAGTCCAGCAAGCTGGGTGCCAGGGTTCC